CGCTCTTCTCCCTCTTCACACCAAAATCCATCAGCCCTGTCCGTGAACGGGGTTCAGACCCATTCAACACCCACAGGACAGCGCAGCCGCCCAAGCGCCTCGCTGTGTTTATAGATACAGACACCCACAATGCAATGTTTGCAGTAATTTTGCATACCCTATACAAAATAAATATCACAACTAAACTAAGACGCAAAACAATGTCATGGACCAAGTTACACCTATAGATACACAAGCATTAACGCTATCTATTCAGCCTGATTTCCCAGTAAGCAGTTGCTAGCTACAATACATTCAGGAGTCAGAATAAACATCAGTCATGCCAAAATCTAAGAAGAAACAAAAGCACAGAAATCCTCCCCCATCCTTCCAAACGATGCACAGTTTTTGACAGACACTGTGTAATAACATAGTTGTTATTGTGCAATGGCGGCGCGGGGCCGCTGGATCTCCGCGTCCTAACACACGTGTTTGCCGAGTGTCTCGAGGAGGAACCGGGCGGTTCCAAACCTCCTTCCAGGAGAGAACAGATCCCACGCTCTGCCCCCGACTCGCACCTCTCCGCAGCGAAACCCCGATCGTGCGCGGGATCCGCTCGCGCTTCAGATCATGGCGCTCTTCTCCTCCAGCAGGGAGCCCCGCGACGGGGCCCGGCCCAGCAGCAGCTCCTTCTCGTGCACCAGGCTGTCCAGCAGGTCCTCCTGCCGGTAGTTGTGGTACACCTTCAGGAACGCCAGCGCCGTGATGGCCAGCCAGGTCAGCCAGGCGGCCCAGAGCCCGAACTGCGGAGGAGACGGTGCAGGGGTCAGTGTGGTACCCAAAATAACAAACATCTATGACAGTGCAGGGGTCAGTGTGGTACCCAAAACAATGAACATCAATGACGGTGCAGGGGTCTGTGGTACCCCAGAATAACAAACATCAACCCCTTGGTTTGATTTGGTTCCCATGAACTCAAAGCTATAGACCAATAACAGGTTTACTCTAGAAAAACTGGCACATTAGGAGCTAATGCCAAAATCTGTGACAAATACAGCACAGCCCTGGGCTGGCATCACATAAAGGGGTCGCTTTTGTGGCACATTTGTGTCTGACACAGATGTGTCCAAGCTGGGTGTGATGCTGTGCTGGCCCATGAGGACACAAAATTGCTGGTGTCTGAGGCACGGTTACCCCCAAGGAGTGTCCATAAGGACACGGCCATGGGTGCACGAACACACACTGAGCAGCAAGTGCTCAGCCCCGGGACCACCGGCTCTGAATGCTGACCTAGCGCTCGCATATTCGATAAATTCTGATGGCCACAGGGGTCTGATCCTCAAAGACTGACCAGGAAAAAGCCCTGTCTAATAACCTGTCATTATTTTCAATGGTCTGGTATGTATATGGGATCAGGGGATCTCAAACGCCCATGGAAGGCAAAGGCAATGGTCCCATGGCCTGGTGCAGGTCAGCAGAGCTCATCCTTCAAAGCAACGATAAACTTACTATCATGAGTAACAAGACTCATGTTTTGACACGTTCACATTCAGAACTGGCTGTTCTTAATTCAAAATGCAAATGTTCCTGTCCCCCTCATCCCCTTTCAGCGCTTGCTGCAGTCAGTGGAAAGTTCCCATTGATCTTGGAGGGTGGTAGCTGAGATCGATGAGCAAACGTTAACTGAGCAGCAGCGGGACCGCGACCCGGTGTGACCCACCTGCGCAATGGCAAACTGGTCGTAGAAAGCAGAGTTTTCCAGGTTCAGCTCGAGATCTATGTCCTGTAACTCTTCACAGCTGCCCGAGGACGGCGTTTGCAGGGGAAAAGTGGAAAATCAGTTCAGAAACTCCAAACAGGCAAACCAAACACAAAGTCAAGCAACGTCTCAACGTTTCAAACAGTCACAAGGGCTCGTTCTACCAAGAGACACTGGAGTTATTGCAGTAACCATGTTGCTTGCCAACCTTCTCTAAAACCAGGCTAAAAGAGGCATGTAATTGCTTTTAAAAACCAATGTATAACTACGTTAGTGATAGTAACAGTCATCATAAGTGGAACTGCAGGGGTCATCATGAAAACAGTGCACTTAAAGCTCTCCTCTCCCGCTACCCCCACGCCGCCCCCATCCAAAGATTTGGCATCGCCCCGGCTCCTTGCTGCTCCCCTCAGCGAACCACAGCCACGAGCCTCCGTTACCTTGCGACTCCGCCAGGTTTGTGGGGTTTGTGTCGGGTGCTCCGCAAGGGGACGGTGCTTTGGTGGCAAGGGAGAGGCTGCCTACGGGCTTACAAATAACGTTAACGGGTGAGAAACAGTCCGGGGCTGGGAGGTGTCTCTATCTCCTGCTGGGTTCTGCAGCCTCTTCTCTTCTCAGTGCTGCCGGTCATCTCGGGTTCTTACCCGAATATTCGATTAGGTGGGGTTTGTAAACGAGCTTTTAACCGAATATTCGAATATCTCGATTAGTCCTTGCAGCCCTAAACAGAACATTCGCCATGGCATTTTACAACATATGACAATGTGCAACACAAATGTATGCTTTAAGCGGTACCTTTACTCAATATCATATGACATAAAATGTCACCTTCTCCTCTGTCATCATCTGTCTCATATTTGTCTGTCTGCCTCAGTGTGCCCAGTTTTCTCTCAGGAGCACCTTGGGGAACCATATCAGACCATTTTGGGAGCTGGGCATTTTGTGGGCTGTAGGGAAGTCTCAGCCATCCGGACCCTGCGCTCACAAAGTGTTTTCCCCGCTCTGCTCGCAGGACCACGTGTCCCATCCTCACTCCACTGCAAGTTCAGCCACTTAGAATCACAGAATCCCAGGATGTGAGGAGTTGAAGGGCCCTGGAAAGCTCCCCCAGTGCAACCCCTGCCAGAGCAGGATCACCAGAGCAGTCACACAGGAACACGGCCAGGGCTTTGGGTGTCTGCACACAAGGAGACTCCACAACCTCTCTGGGCAGCCTGGGCCATGCTCCAGACCCCTCACACTCACAAACTTTGGCCTCATCTTCAGCTTGAACCTCCTGTGCTCCAGCTTGGGACCATTGCCCCTTGTCCTGGCATTGGCCATCCCAGAGCAGAGCCTGGCTCCTTCCTCCTGACACTGCCCTTTCCCAATGGATCCCCAGGAATGAGGGCCCCCCTGGGCTCCTCTGCTCCAAGCTCAAGAGCCCCAGCTCCCTCAGCCGCTCCTCAGCAGGAGATGCTCCCCTCCCTGGGAGTGGAGAAGAGACTGAGCTGAAAAGTAAAATCACTCAGTAGGAAATCAGTTCTGTTTAACTCAAACCAGAACAACCACGAACACCGCACTTCTCTTTCTGAGGAAATAAACACTGAAAAGTTTCATTTGCTGTTTGTGTTCCAGATGAAAAAAGCCTGGATTTCCACGTGACAGACGCCTCCTCCCCTTGCTCATGTACTAACCGCAGTTTGTACCACCGCCGATCACTCATGCATGTATAAAGAAGGAAGAAAGGTGTTCTTCAGTACTGACCTGTTCGGCATGCTTCCTTTCTCGGTAATTGCATCACACCACATGTTAAATCCTACGCTCACTATAGTGCTGGCAATAAACGTGATGAACACCACAAAGGCGCTGATCAGCAGATTCAGGAAGGCATAAAAGAAAGAGCTGCAATAAAAAGAAAGAAAAATGTAACTCATAAACAGCCAAAACACAGCATCAGCAGTCTGGGCACAAAGATACCGGTGCCCATTGGAAACACATCTGCCTTAATTAAGAACACCTAATCCATTGAAAAACTAGGGATTAGGATTTTGAGTCGCATTATCTTCATTTGTAAGTGCTTTTGATTTTGTTTTCTTTCTTTCACTGCAAAAGGATGGGGCTTTAGATCCTAAATACCAAGTGGTGACTGTTCATGTACGGCGTGGCTTTCATCAGCTGTAATGATGGAAATCACCATTGTCAAAACAAACGTCATCAGCTCAGACCACGTCGTAACTGCAGCTAAAACTATTTCATGACTAAAGTGATAATTGGGACCAAAACAGCCTAGGAGAGGACAACTAGAAATAAAACAACACGGCTCTGATCGCTACCATCATTCTAAGAAACGAAGCACAAGGCACTGCCATCACAGGGCCCAGATCTGGGGTTTATGGGCACTTTGCAGAGCAGAACAGGGATGGGATGAGATGGGATGGGTGGCATGGGATGGGATGGGGATGGG